GTGCGATCCCAGGAATTATGAGTGTGTTTGAGAATTAGCCCAAATATCATAGGTAACGGCCCCACTACCACACTCACATAGGTGAATTCTGTCAAGGGTGCTCTTGTAACTATGACACCCCACTCAATAAGAGCTACAGAAATTCATTAAGAGTTTTTTTAATAACTCAACATCTACAACGTTACAGGATAAATGCACTTACATCATAGGGATAGGTAAAAAGTAATTTAGTGCATTTCTCACGGCCATCATATGATCATTTTTCTCATTGAACCCAATTACAGGATCTCTGGTCCCTGGGTTGAGTATCCTCATACATGGCTCCCGCTATATTCAATGGGCTTCAACCCCATCCCCCTCGATGTATTCCAGACTCTATCTCTTGCTAAGACCTTAGTTAATGGATCTACAAGATTATCACCAGATTTAATAGAATCCACATTTATGATGCTATTATTCATATAAGATCTCACAGTACTGTGTTTTCTTCTGATAGGTCTGGATTTACCGTTATAATAACGGTTATTAACTCGACCAATTGCTGCGGTGCTATCACAATGAGTCAATATAGGTGGAATCGGTTTTTCCCAACAAGAAATTTCATTTAACAAATCTCTTAACCAATTTGCTTCTTCACTAGCTGTAGCTAAAGCAATAAGCTCAGCCTCCATTGTTGAATTAGCAATAATGGTTTGTTTTTTAATTTCCAACTTATAGCACCACCTCCCAAGGTAAATAAATAACCAGTGGTTAATAATGAATCACCTGACAAGGTATTCCAATCGGCATCACTGTAACATTCAAGTACTGCAGGATACTTATTATAAAACAAGCAATATTTTATGGTACCAGATAAATATTTCATAATACGCTCAATGGCTAGCCAGTGATCACTGCCAGGCTTGCTAGTAAACCTACTAAGTACTCCAACTGCATAGGCAATGTCAGGTTTAGTACAGCCAGTCGCATAACGCAAGCTATCAATCATACTAGCATATTCCTTTTGATTAATTATATTCTCATCATTTTCAACAGGAAATAAACGCACATGAGCATCAAAGGGAGTAAGAACATGCTTGCAGTTATAAAAATTATATTTTCTCAAAATTTTCTCAACATAATGCGACTGATCAAGAAATATACCATCACAGATTTTGGTAATTTTCATTCCCAAAATATAATTAGCCTCACCAAGATCTTTTATATCAAAATGGCTACTAAGCATATTTTTAGTTTCCACGATGATATGCAAATTAGAGCCAAATATAAGTAGATCATCCACATAAAGGCTAATAATGACATGTGAATTCTCTTCAGATTTATAGTAAATATATTTTTCACATTCATTCGTTTTATAGCCATTTTCAATCATACAGGAATCAAATTTCTCATGCCACTGTTTAGGGGCCTGTTTTAAGCCATATAGGGATTTAACTAGCTTGCACACTTTGCTTTTTTGACCGGGTTCCACAAAACCCTCAGGTTGATCCATATAGATTTCTTCACTCAGGTCTCCATTTAAAAAGGCCATTTTAACATCCATTTGATGAATCTTTAGATCGTGAATTGCAACCACAGCAATTAATAATCTAATGGATGTAACTCTAATAACCGGAGCAAATGTATCAAAAAAGTCAAGATCTACTTGTTGTTTAAAACCTTTTGCAACAAGCCTTGCTTTATATTTATCAATAGTTCCATCCGGTTTAAGTTTTTTTTCTCAAAACCCATTTATAGCCAATAGTTTTACAACCTGGTAGTAAATCTACTAATACCCAAGTTTTATTGGATAATAATGATTCTATCTTATCATTTGCAGTCTCGTTCCAAAAAACAGAGTCAGGAGATGCCAAAACTTCTTGTAAAGTTAATGGAGTTTCCTCCACATTAAAAACATGATAATCAGGGCCAAAATCTTTTTCTAATCTGGCTCTTTTACTCCTTCTAGGTTAAAAAACTATAGGATCTTGGTTTTGTAAAAGAGGAGTAGAGGAACCAGTTTCAGATAAAATATTTTCTTGATAATTTTGACCCCCACCATTTTTAGATTTAAAAGGAAATTTTTCTTCATGAAAAATTACATCACCTGATTCAAAAATTATTTTGTTTTCAATATCAAAAAATCTATAGACTGTATTATTTGTTGCATATCCAAGAAAAGCACAAGTGGTAGCTTTCACACCTAATTTAGGTCTTTTAGGATCCACAAGTCTAATAAAAGCTAGACAACCCCAAACCCTCAAATATCTCAAATTTGGCTTATGCCCTTTCCACAACTCAAAAGGTGTAACTTTTGTTTTTTTATGTGGCACTATATTCATAACATAACATGCAGTTAAAATTGCTTCTCCCCACAAATTTGAAGGAGCACCTGCTTCAATTAGCATAGCATTTGTTAAATCAGTTAAAGTTCTATTTTTCCTTTCTGCTACACCATTCGATGCAGGTGAATATGGTGGAGTAGTTTCATGGATTATTCTCAAAGACTGAGCAAACGAGTTGAATCCAAAAGATTCATACTCCCGACCTCTATCACTTCTATATCTTTTAATTTTTTTACCGAATTGATTTTCAACTTCAAGAAGGAATTCTTTAAATTTTTCAAAAGCATCACTTTTATTTTTCAACAAGTATACATAAGTGTATTTTGAAAAATCATCAATAAAAGTGATAAAATATATATTTTCACCACGTGTTAAAATTCCTTCAAATTCACATAAATCAGTGTGAATTAATTCTAACAATTCAGTATTTCTCACCACACTTTTATGAGGCCTTTTAGTTATTTTTGCTTGACTGCAAACTTCACATTTCTCAAACTTATTTGTTAGTCTAGGAATTAATCCTAAACTACTCATGACTTCCACATATCAGCTATTAATATGACACAGACGAGCATGCCAAAAATTCATAGAAGACAACATGTAAATAGAAACATGTGCTTTCTTATTCTCAACATTTAATTTAAACATTCCATCACAGGCATGCCCTTTCCCCACAAATATGCCATTTTTAGTGATTACATATTGGTCAGATTCAATAGTCTGCTTGAAATCAGCTTTGTTGAGCAAATAACTTGACATCAAATTTTTCCTCATGGACGGTGTGTACAACACATCTTTTAAAACAAGCACACGTCCAGAGGTAAAATTTAGCTCAACATCTCCATACCCGAGCACCTTGGTTAAACTAGAGTCACCAAGCATAACAGTCCTCTCCTCATTAAAAGGAGTGAAATCTTTGAACTAATCTTTATCATAGCAGACATGCCTATTGGCACCAGAGTCTGCCCACCACCCTTCCATAGATTGAACCATAAAAATATCTGTAATCATAGCCACAGATGGTTCCTCGGTAACATTAGCCTGTGGTCGAGACTGTTGTTTCCGAAATTTGCAAGTTCGGGCAATATGCCCACTTTTGCCACACACAAAACATGTCACATTTGTCAGATCTTGTGAAGGGGGTTCTTGGTTCCATTTCTTTTGCCTCGGATAATTTTTATTTTGTGGCCTTCCAGTATTTTTCCAGATTTTCTTAACTGGCTTCAAGTGACTATTTTTATGAAATCGACCTTTAGGTAAAGTATTTCCAGAAGTTAAATTTACCTTTGCAGTGGAATGCTCTTGTGTCATAAGTGCATCTTGTCCTCGTGCTTCCTCCTCCACCCGAATCCACGTAATTAGAGTCTCCAAGGACGTCTCTTTTTACTTGTGACGCATTGACTTCTGGAACTCCCTCAATGATGATGGAAGTTTGTCAACAATACCTGCTACAACAAGATTGTCTCCAATTTTGATGCCTTCAAATCTAACTTCAGCTACTAACATCTGAAAATCTTGAACTTGCTTCACCACTGATTTTTCATCTATCATCTGATAACGGAAAAAACGGCTTACAGCATATTTTTTAGCGTCTGCCTCTTCAGTGTCATATTTGTTCTGCAAGGCTTTCCAAATTTTCTTGGCCGTGGTGTAAGTAGTATCATAATAATCAAAAAATTGATCTAAAAGACAATTCAAAAGATAATACCGACATTTATACTCATCTACATTGTATTTCTCGATTTTTTCAAGATGAGCAGCATACTCCTCGTCGGTCATCTCTTCAATGGGGACTTTGTTCGGATTTTTCTCAATCAGGAAATAGGCCACCTTGAGGAGACTGAGGTAGAAAAGCACCTTGCCTTTCCATCTCTTGAAATGGGCTTCCTTGAACCGGAAGGGCTTGTTGAGATCGTCGATATTCTCGTTGGGCTTCTCCAGTACTGGCTCCGTGGATTTTTGCTATTTGAATCTCCTTAAAATTGTTGGTGATAATTACAAATAAAACACCAAAAAATAAGAATAATAAAAATTACAATAACTATTGTAAGGGCTGAGGCGCGGAAAATTCGTTCTCTTTAAGGAGATTCAAGCCCTCTGCGGTTAGGCAAAGCCTCACACCGGTGAAGCAGAAAAAACCTTGACTTGTCTCCCCCAGGATACAACAGCCCGACTAAGTCGTATGGTTAACCAATACTGCACAATTGGTTGAACCCAAAGCTTTATCATATACACCCTTTTTTATTTACCTGATAATCTCAGGTAAGACATAATAAAAGCAACCAAAACTTCTTCTCGTATATTTCAAAATAGGACATAGCTCGATATATATAGAAGAAAAAGCTAGGAGGGTCTTCCTTGGTGGATAAGAAAAGGAAGACTTGAAAGGATAAGACCTGGCGAAGACTTATCTTGGAAGACTAGGAATACTTGATGTGGACAAGAATGGGGAGACTTGACCAAGACTTGGCAAAGACTTGAATGGTAAGTAAACTTGGCAGAAAAGAAAAGAAAACCAACCTATGACACATTATAATATTAAAATACCTGCTAACACAAAGAAATAGTGTGGGTTTTCAAGGAAACTTGTTAACTTGTCAACAAACTATTGCAGTTGCCCAAGATTTATTTTGTTCCACAGCCTTTGTAAAGAGGGCACAGAGGCAGAATGAGGGTATGGTGGATAATAAGGAAAATGAAACATTTTCTCCGAGTGTTTTAAATGCCATATGTGTACTTGTGAATCATACACCGCATGGTGTTGATTTGCAGGAACACAGATTGATTATTGATGGATCATGGAGGAAAGACGACGGAAGTGCAAGCATAGCTTGGGTCTGTTACGATGCTGATGAGGAACCCATAGCACAAAGAGCTGCTCAACTTCATCTTCTTTCAGCCTTTCCAGCGGAGGTCATTGCTTGTCAACGAGTTATTCAATGGGCAAAGGAACAGACTCATAGCTTTTGGTTGATGTTTTGTGTAAATGAGTCCAACCTTTTTGGACCTCTGCAACTTTATTGTCGAATATTTGGTCAACTAGCAAGTATTTTAGTTCTCATAGCCTTCGTTTGGAAAGTGGGTTGACTTTTTGACTTTTTTAGTTATTTTAGCCTGAGGCTAAAAAGCCTAATTTGGAAAAGGCATTTGGCTTTTTTGGCTTTTTTGTGAGAGAAAGAATGTATGATTATGGGTTAGATGTGATGCTTTGTCTTATTGGACTAAAAAGCCTATTTTATTTTTTTTGGCTAAAATAGCCAAAAAAATCCCAAGTTGGGCTTCCCAAACGAAGCCTTAGTGTCTCTAAGGTCAATCAGATGAACTTAACCCAATTCATGACTTGACTCGGTCTGTAACTAATGTTAATGTTATATGTTTGCTGTTTTCTCAAAATAATAATAATAATAATAATGTTGTCTTTTCTCATATCTTTGGCAATGATTGAATTGACTTTCTCAATGGGAGAGATTGGGGCTCAAAGGAAAGAAGAATAGGGGGCAAGGTTGATTGTGTGTTTTCCTATACTTAATAATGTGTATCTTCTTCTTGATATTTGTTTTATTTTACATGTTTTTTATCTTAAAACTTCGCCCTATCCAAGAGGAAATATCATTTTGCCTTCTTAATTTTTATGCATTTTTTAATTTGACAATCAGATTTTGTATAATATTAATTTGCCTCTCAAACTTTTGAAATTTTGATTAATTTGGTCCTTACCGTTACATTTCGTCTACAATCAAACGGAATTTACTGACGTAACAGTAAACTTCATTTGGAACTTCATTTTACCCTCTAAAACTATACCTTAAAAATCAATTAGCCCCCCCCCCCCCAAAATATAAAAATAATAATAATAATGATGAAAAAAATGAAAAAAATAAATTTTAAATAATATATACTTTGCAAAAAAAATAATAAAATAATATAAAAATTCATTTACAATTATCTTGAGATTATGAAGTATAGATATTTCGACAAATATGTCAGGCCCATACCGGGTGTTTATCGACGTATAGTATTTCTGCATATATGTACTGGGCACACAAAACATGTACTTAAATTTCTTCTTCTTAATTTTTGGTATACCCAGACATGCATAATATATATCCAAGCTGTGGCGTACCTCAGTCGAAACAATATTTTTTTTCTAGTACAAAGAAAAAGTTTCTTTTACTAAACTTCTTTCTTATGTTTAGTTTTATGCTTAATATAATTATAAAATTAAGTTATGGTTTGTAAGTTATGGTATGTCTTCATTACATCAAGAGTTTTAACACTTACAATCTCAAACTTGGTTACAAAAGGGATTGAGCAAAACTAGTATCTAATTTTTCTAGGGTAGTCATACGTCCTCAAATGTTTTAGCTTCGCCTTTGACCGGCTGATAGTCTTCAATACTTGGCATGAAATGCCATGAGCTTTGAATGTCCAGTAAACGTACACATACCCTGTCCATTTTTTCCAATCTAATACACAATCACATTTACAACAAGTAATGAAGTATGATAATCAAGTAAACAAGTAAAGGGTTACAAGTTAGAAGTTAGTAATTTAGAAATCTCCCAAAGAGATTCCATCCTCTCACAAGATTGGACTCGGATTATTCGGTATACCCCATCTTTTGTTGCTTTGCAGACCTTACTCCGGATGTCTATAACGGTTACATACCTCATACTGCCAACCAAGGACCTCAAAAGAGATGGTAAAAATAAGGGCCTTACCCATAACTTCCTCCAACCTTATCCATCGTAAATATCTATAGTCCGAATACAATTGGGCCATTCGAGGGTTCCAAAAAACCATTTGTGCAAGATTTAACCTTTAATTAGGGAACACGTCCCATCAATCCATACTTGAAATTAACACATTATCATCTCATCATTATTCAAGTGATCGAAAAATCCAATACCACCCCATTTAGTTTTCCCTTGAGTTAGATATTTTAAGTTAGGGTTAGAATAAACTATTCAGACAATAATTTCTATATAAGTATGAACATCATCAAAGTACCATGGTAAAGAAATGTAGGCACAATAATGGAAATATCATATTAAGGCCCAATTAAGAGATAAGAAGCACATTCATGAAATTAAAAGTATGAAATCATCAACAAACATAAATTTTCAAATTAGATACACTTTAAAGCCACAATTTATGAGACATTTCCAGATTTTTCCTGAACTCGGCCTTTCTATGGTTTGTGGAAAATTTTATCTAATTTCTAAATTATCTTTCAAAAATGGGATAGCTTTTCAGTTATTAAAGAAATATCCCAACATTATCCAGATTCGTCGACTGTTACAAATATTAGATTTTCTCTTAAACTACTAACTCTTTTTTGATAAAACCATTTTTAATTGAAAGATAAATGTGAGAACCCGAATATAAAAATTAAGTAAATAATTAAATAATAATTTTACAATCTCAAATATTTTATTATGAATCTTTAAGTGCAAATTAAATATTATTAGAGGATCTTTTAATTAATTTTAAACCTAAAATAAATTTATGGTGAAAGTCATTGATTGAGAAGCAAGATTTATTATAAAAAAAAAAAAAAAAGAGAAGAGGGTGTGACTTGAACTCTAGACCACAAAATTAATAAGTTAGACTCTTACCATTTGAATTGCATGTAACTTATATATGTATTTTGTATATTTATCTATCTATTTGACCTAAGTGTGCCCACAACTAGTATAAAATAAAATAAACACAAACCCTAACTCTTGTTATAATTGTTTTCCACAACACTAGCAACCCTAGCAGCCGTGGGTTTATGAAGAAAAGAGAGGAGTTTTTCAATCATCAAGATTATTGTTGTAGCCAAGAAGAAGAGCTTTGGGTGTGTTGTGCTGTGTGGCTTCCTAGGTTTTCTTCTCTTCTTTCTTTGTTCTTTATCCTAATAATATTGTTATTTAATTCATTGATGGAGAGATTGTAGGTGTATGTATTTTGTGTATATATATATATGCTGTTAAGAAATCTAAGGAGTTAAATTCATGTATAAAGAATCGGTGTGAATCTTAGTCCAAAAATTCTGCACATAATCGCTAACTTTAAAAATCAAGAAACCATATCAAACAGATGAATTTTAATCTGAAATTTTTACAGTAGATAAATATAAAATTGAATTGCATATCTGAATTTTTTCATAATTTTTGGGAGTCGAAATCCATATAAATTGAGGTATTCAAATCTGTCCAAGAAACCAGTCCGAAACAGTAAATTCGGGAGTGTTGTTATCTTTGGGTATAAATCCAAAAATCATCAAATTAGTGCCATTAGAACCGGTTACGAGTCTAGTTTCATACGTTTTTGGCCTTGCATTGATTGCTCGTGTATATTAAGAGAACCATCAATTTCTTTAAAGTGCTGCAAAAAACAACCTGTTTGGATATAATAAATTGTAGAAAGATATGCAGATGAAAGCTATCTAACAAACGGGTACTTAGACACCATAATAGACTGGATTCCAGGAATGAAAGATATTCGTCTAAAGGACCTTCCAACATGTTTCCAAACTACTAATCCAAATGATGAAATATTTAACTTAGCCATGGAATCGGCAGAGAGTGCTTCTCAAGCTTCAGCAATTGGTCTTCATACTTTCAATGCGTTGGAACAAGATCTTTTGGATGCTCTCTCATCTATGTTTCAAAATGTTTACACCATTGGTCCTTTACAGTTACTTCTAAACCAACAAGTATCACCAGACTTGGAGCGTCTTGGATACAATTTGTGGAAAGAAGAACCAAAGTGTCTCCAATGGCTTGATTCCAAAGAACCTAGCTCCGTTATTTATGTCAATTTTGGAAGTGTAACAGTCATGCCCCTGCAACACTTGATAGAGTTTGCTTGGGGACTAGCCAATAGCAACCATTACTTCCTGTGGGTAATTAGGCCTGATTTGGTGATTGGAGAGTCGGTTATTCTGGCACAGGAATTCGAGGCAGACACTAAAGAAAGGGGATTGATAGCAGGGTGGTGCCCGCAAGAGGAAGTCCTGAACCACCCATCAGTTGGAGTGTTCTTAACACACAGTGGATGGAACTCAACTATTGAGAGCTTGACGGCGGGGTTAGTGGATCGTTTTGTGGTTGTTGCTCGTGATTTTTTATCACAATTAGAGGTGCTCCAATTGTGGTTTTTCCACGTTAAAATCGTTATGTTGATTTGTCTTGATTGTTTGATTAGGATTGTTATAGACTGCTTAAAATTGATACATAATCACAAATCAATATCTAGGGGATTTCTAGATTGTATTTACCAAACTGTATGCCAATCTAGTTTCTGGGATATATATATCTTATTTTGGAATTGAACCCTGTTTTCAAAACTGTATTTACTATCCATGTTGCTACTCACTGAGCTATCAGCTGACTTAGTTGTTTACCATTTCCAGGTGTTAGAAGGACTTAGAGTGGACTCATGGCGTAGCGGGGACTCAATTGCATGGACCTCTAGGGCATTTATTTAATTTTCTTTTAGGTTGCTTTGTTGAGTTTTGCGCATACTTTGTGATTGGGTTTTATTTAGAATTATTTTATTTTGTGGGTTGTTTATATCTCATAAGTTTGGATGGTTTTTGATTACGGTTGATTTTGCCGTTTATAATTGTGGCATGTCTGGATTGAGTTTTGGTTATTTATTATTGGACTATTGTTCAGTTGTTCAATGTGATTGGATTCGTGTTTAGGCTTACGTGTGCCTTGGGCTAAGTCCCTGTGGGCCACGGCCGGTCATGCCCGGATTTGGGGTGTGACAATAAAATTTTAAGGAAAGTTTTGACATAAAAATGAGGTCAAAAAGGTTTTTTTTTTTGAATTTTTATAGAATTTTTTTAAGAGGCCTGAAAATACCGATCTTTCTTGCGCAAAGCTTGAAATAAGATGATTAATAGAAAAAGAGGGCAACCATGAGTAATTTTCCACTTCTCTTATGATGAGAACATGCTAAATAGTATATAAATAACTTGAATTTTTTGAATGAAGGTATGCTTTTGGAAATAATGTGAGAAGGGGGTAGAAAAATATAGTTTGGCTTCCATTAAGTGAAAATACAAGTAATGAAGAAAACAAGGCTGTAATTATTTTATTCAAACACAAGAATACTGTGAATACACGTATGAAAATGATACATTAAACCTCTAAGATCATGTAATTGCCTGAGAAAATAAAAGTGATGGTTGTGTTGTGGTTTACATGAATGCCTATGGGAGTAGTTTTGCAAGACTTGCTCTTTTTCTTTTCTTTCTTTCTTCCACAAGCTCACTCTTCACTCCTCTCCCTCTTGCTATGCTGTGTGAGTGTGTGTATGTTTGATGTGGAAATGTGTGGAGGATAGTGGTGTGTTTATAGGAAAAATGGTGTAAAAAGTCCAAAATACCCATTGTTTCAACTGAATTGAATAGTCTTGGATTTAGTTAGGGAGTAATGGAATGAGGGGTGATTAGGGCTCTAATTAAGAGTTAAACACGATCTAGTTATATATTAAATCAAGATAGAACTAGATTGAAAACCTTAGTACAAACACATCCCTTGGACTATGGTACTTGGTCAAAAATTCTCCCTAAATTCATGCAATTTGTCTTGAAAAGTACCTTGCATATATACACGCAAGGGGTGGCCGGCCATGATCAGTAGATTTGAAGGGATTTTCTTTTTTATTTTTGGTGTACAAATTGTATATATTAGTAGGTATTTTGTGTACAAAAAAGTAAATAAGTTTAAAGGTACAAGTATGTGTATATATAGGTATGCTTTGCGCTTTTGTCCATTGACCTCAAAGCCTACTAGTTGATGCATATTGATCTCCTCATCTAATTCTCCATTGAGAAATGTAGTCTTAACATTCCAAATCCAAATGCGTGACAATAGCTAGAATTAGGTAAATAGAGGCAAATCTCACCACCAGGGAGAATGTCTCATCATAATCTATACCTTCTCTTTTGGTATAACCCTTTGCCATGAGATGAGTTTTGTACTTATCAATTGACCCGTCAACCTTGCGCTTAATTTTTGATATCCATTTGTTACCAATGGTCTTGCGCCTAGGTGGAAGGTCAACCAACTCCCAAACTTGCTTCTGAGCCATAAAACTCATTTCATCTTTCATAGCAACCATCCACTCATTAGTATTAGATGAAACTAATGCTTCCTCATAGGAAACAGGCTCATCAAGACCCAACGGAGTACACATGAAAGATTCCCCTTCAATCTCATAACGATGACAAGGAATGATTCCATGTTCACTTCTACGTAATTGGGATTCTAGTGAGTCATTTTCTAGTGGAACACTCCTACTAAGAGGTAAATCACTCCTACTATCTTTTGCTATTTCATGATGAGGCTTTAATTCTCCACTTTTGCCAAAAGGTGGTGTGATTTTTGCAGACTCTTGCAACTCAAACAGTGCAAGATCTTACTTTACTTCACCAATTCTAAGGAATTCACTCTCAATGAAATTGACATCTCGACTCACTTTTTGTCACTCCACCATTAGGATGTTCACCATACATTACATAACTTTTTGAGCATTTTAAGTTTTTAGCAAACACTTGTTTATTTACTCTAGGGCCTAACTTCCTATGCTTATGAGAAGTACTGTGAACAAAACCCATACAACCCCAAGGCCTCAAATGCTTAGGTAGCAGTCAAAAGAGAATCTTCCCAAAAGGATATAGAGATGTTGGCTTGCACCATCATTGATCTAACCATTTCAAGCAAAGTGCAATTCTACCTCTCTGCTACTCCATTTTGTTATGGAGTGCCTAAAATTGTTGACTACATGCATATCTCATTTTCCTTACACAGTCTCTAGAACTGATATGATAAATACTCATGCGCTCTATCTGTTTGAAGGATTTTCAATTTCTCGTCTGTCTGATTCTCAACCAGTGCAACAAAGTGCTTGAAGCAATCTAACGCCTCAAAGCGATGTAAGATCAAAAAGACATAATTGAATCATGAATAGTCATCAACAAATGTAAGGAAATAAGAAGCGCCATGGCATGCCTTTACATTTATAGGTCCGCGAATGTCAGAGTGAACTAATTCTAGAGGATATAAAGCCCTTGGTGTCTTTCCAAAAGGCTTTCTATTGGCTTTTCCTACCAAACAAGGCTCACACATGTAGACACCACATTTTGACTGACCCTAAGACTTTGGCCACTTACAAGCCTCTCAATGATGAAATGGTACTTACTTCATTTTTAAGATGCTTAAAGGATTGCTTAGAGTTGTTGTATAAACTCGTTTTGGCCAAAAATTACCTTCTTAGAAAAATGACGATTTTACCCCTAGACCCATTTTTATCCAAAAGCCAACTTCTTAACCCCAAAAAGCCTGATTGTGCTTTGATTGATCGTATTTTCCAAAATTAGTGACCTGTTTTATCAAAAATATTGATCAAAATACAATTCGGACTTACTTGTGCCACAAGCAAGCCAAGAGCATAGAACCCTATACTTGTGCATGCATACATGGCACGTGTACCAAGGCAAAATGCACGTACGTACGTTAGATGTGAGTGTGCACAATCGTTGTGCGTACACACTTAGTCTATACGTGCGTACATTGAAGCATCGTAGAGTTATTTTTAGAAACTCTAGTTTGGTGCAATTTTGGTTGGAATGGTGGAGGGAGAAGCGATGAAATCCTAGAAGGGTTCCACAGGCTTCCCCCAGCTCTATAAATAGAGCCTCTCCCCTTCGCTTTGAAGGGGTTAAGAATTTGAAGCCTCTTTGTGCATTTTAAGAATAAAATACACTCTCTCCTCCTCCTCTTTGGCCTTAGCTTTGAAAATATCCCATCCAACTCTAAACATTGAAGAATACCTAAGGACTGAAGAAATTTAACCAAAATTTGGATTCCAAGCTTGGGGGAAGCTTGCAAACAAAGATCTCGTTGTTTCTTTGCATTATTCTCTGTGTGCTCTTCGATTCTTGAAAACCAGAAGGTAAACTCCTCTTATTCTTTGTATTTCAATAGCCCTTTGCTGATTTTAGTAGTCAATCCATGCTAGGTTGTTAGTCCATCTTAATATCATGCAGTCTCTTAGTTTTTCTTACTTTCTCACCTCTTCTTGCATGTTTTCTTTCTTTTCGTTTGAACAGCATGGTTTCAGGTTTATTTTGCTCATATAATTAGCATGCATGGTCCGGTTTGATTCATCATGCAGTTAGTTTACATTTATACTCGTATTTGTTAGTTGTATTCTTGTGCACATTCATCATGTAATAGTCTCAAACGGAGCCTAGGATCATTCTTGTATGTTTAGTTGCATGCTTTAGGTCATATTTATTTTATGTCTTACATGTAAGATGCATGAAGTGGGCATCTGGGTAAGTCCTCTTGTTCTCCTTGTCATGTACTTGTGGCTTTGCATTGTCCTTTTAAGTAATGCAAGTTTATATGCTCTTTGTATGCAAAATTGTGTAGTTTGTGTGTTTTTGTGTGGATATTGTATATTTTAGTTTATGTTTAAGGCTATGGATTATCAAAATCCACTTTTCCTAATACAAAATCGTTTTTATATAAATATGGATTTATTCATTTAATCTAAAATATATGATATGCACTTTTCTTCAAATCACATAGTTTTAGGTTAGTTAAAAAATTTAGGTCTAAAATGAATTTTTGTGAACAATTAACCACTAAAATCATAAAATAGAGAGTGAGTAGAGACCAATCTTCAGATTGGGCAAAAAAGAGTGCTTCAATGTAAATAGCCTTCCCCTTTTGCACCTAAACTCCTGAACCCAGAATGTTCTTGGTTATGACGGATAAGGCCTTAACTTAATTTTCATCTTTAAAGGTTTCTTAGTTCCCCTTTAAAAATTAAGTGGCGACTCTATGGTAAGTCGGTGTGGGATGCATACCTTAAACTCGAAAAAAGCACGGCGTCCACAATTGGTGACTCTGCTGGGAAATCAAATTAGCTTGACTTGAAAATTTCTATTTTATGAAATTTGTGGTTAATTGTTAATTGCATTCCATCATTTTAGAACTAAGGAAACCTGCCTTATTGCATAATATCTCGGACATTATTCGTAAGCTATGTTATGTCAATAAGGCAAGCGTCAGAGTGTGCTATTAGTACTGTTTGATCATTTCCTTGTGGAATGAGAGATATATTGATAGTAATAACTGATATACCCGTTTGTGACCAAACCTACATTTTGCATATAGAGAGCATTAGCAGCTTTCAAACTAAGACATGATATCCACCCTTCTAGGATTGTAATGTTGCCTTTTGTATGATTTAGTGAATCTTAGATCCTATTTCCAAAATTAGGATAGGGTAACCCTACCTCCAAATAGGCATGAATGCAAATTATGCGCTTATATGGTATCTTAACTTGAATGAAAATGGTTTGATTTGATTCCGTGGATCAACAAGAAGAAAGGAAGTGATTTCATTCCAAAAATCTAGGGAGTCAGAAAGGGCAGTGGTTTGATTCTAGGGCAACCTAAGTTATTCGGGGCAATAATTCAATTACAAAAATTTTGGGAGTGATTCGATTTTGTGAAAAATTAGGAGATGGTTTCCCAAATTAAATGGTTTGAGTTTGAGTTTGAATTCCTACCTTAGTGCGAATGCATCTTCAAAATTTACATCTCCAAGAAAATGTGTGATCAAAAGACAACTTCTAAAAAAAAAACCTTTCTAAACAAAGTAGAGCTTTGGAGATTATGAAAGGTATTTGATTGAATAAGAATCTTTAGGTCATTGATTTTAGAGGGAATTTCAAATTTTATGAAAGATGGTAGGTAAGGAAGTGGTAACCAAGTCTTCCATTTTGAAATAAAATTCCAATTCCCTTCAAAGAAATTTGACTAGAAGACAATTGTTTGATTAGATGCTTGGAATAAAATCTAAAGCTCATTGTGAGGAAAGAATTTTGAAAAATTCTGTGTAGAATTTTAGAAATTCTGGAAAGTTCTTGATTAGACAAAAATCTTTAAGTTGTTGACTTTGGAAGGAATTTTGATTTTATAGAAAAGTGTTAGACAAGGAGGTGATGACCAAGTCTTTCATTTTGAAATTCTTTAGGAGGCATTTGACTAGAAGATGATTGTTTGATTGATTTCTTGGAATAAAATTTGAAATTTCTTAGAAAATTTTTAAAATAAAATTTGATTAGAGTTTGAAAATTATAGAAGTTTTTTTTATCAAGTAAAAATCTTTGGGTTAATGACTTTGGAGTGAACTCTGATTTTATGGGAAAATGGTGGATGAGGAGGTAATGACCAAGTCTTCCATTTTAAATAAAATTCTAGTTTCTCTATAGGGTATTGGCTAAAGGATATTTGTTTGATTGATTCCTAAGAATAAAATCCTAACTCCTCAAAAATTTTAGAAAAAAAAGAAGAGAAAGAACGAAACTTTGAAATTTGAAAAAAAGGGGATTTTACTTTGAAAAATGATTTTTGAAAACAAAAAATGGGAGTT